CCAACCCAGGCTCAAACTACTGACTTTCTGATTGGCAGGATTTTTTTTCTGCAGCCACAGCTGTTTAGCCTACTGTGCTAAGCCTGGCCCTAAAAAAAAAGCTAACAAAGAAACCACAAACCAATTTAAAATACAATGTTTGACCAATAAAAATACTTGTATCAACTCAATAATAGTGATTAGAGTGTCAATGAATATTGTTCAAGCCATCCTGCTTTAATGATATGAACTGGTAGTAAAATCTAATGTGGCATGCCCTGTCTACCTTAACATGAGAAATACATGCTGCTGGAAGGGTGGGAAAGTTTGCAGAGTGAGGTGGCATTGCCTGTTTGTAATGTCTAAAACTGTTCTTATCTTTCCCAATTCTTATTACTTGGAATCAGTGTAGAATAAGGACTCTCGCAAGAGTAATTTCAAAGGGAATAAAAAGCAAAGTGTTGATGATGGGAGTTCCATACAGGCTACTTTCTTAAAATCTACAAGAGACAGATCTCTGTCTTTTTTTAAAAAAAAGCTGGGGACCATTTTCTCCCATCTCCGGGCTCAATTTCTAAAAACGAAAGTTTATAATTTGCCTATATCCTGTTCTCAACATTATCACTTATTTTAGAAGCTTCAGAACAGTTAGTCTCTCTATTTTGAGAGTATTTGGCAGCTGAAATTGCTAGGAATATTGCAATCACATGGAAAAAATGACTTGAAACAACTTCATGAGTACGAAGAAAAAAATGTAACATTGGAATTTGGTGGCCCCTCCCTTCCCTTCCCTTGCTTTGAGTACAGCTCACGGTGCCAGAGGACAGTGTGGGTATAAGGTCGTGATCTCCTCCTCCACAGCGTCAGAGCTCAAGATGTTGTTGTTACAAAACTATAAAGCAGTGCTGCTATTATATACTTACAGCACAAGTAAAATGGCATTATTTTGTTGCAGGAATATATGGAATGCTGGGTTTTAAATCTCTCTAGTCCTTCTGCAACCACACACCTGCAAGAGAAGGTTGCAGGTTGTTATTTCTGGATTTCAGATATTTCTGGAGTTCACATGAAATTTCAGCACAATGGTATAATTACTGTGGAAGGCGGAATGACCTTTGCATCTTTTCTCCAAAAAAAGGGCTACAGGAGAAAAAAATATTCAGATCTCCCACAGACAGTAAGTAACAACAAACCAATGCATGAAACCAGGGGTGTCAAACTCATTTTCACTGAGGGCCAATTCAAAGGGTTATAGAATCAACGGACAGAGAATCTATGGATACAAAGGGCCAACTCTATCTATCTATCTATCTATCTATCTATCTATCTATCTATCTATTAGTCTGTGCTCTTTAGGTTTTACTCAGTTTGGGTCCCCAGATGTTACTGAATTACAACTCCCATCAGTTTTTATTATCGTCAATGTGAACTGGGGATAATGAGAATTGCAAAACAACAGGACTTATTTCTCTGAGGTTGGGAGAAGGTTAAAGGACATTTTAAAGTCAGACATCACATCAACAAGCCTTGTATCTGAATTCAGACCCAACTATCCTGACTAAACAAGACAAACTGCAGCCTTCAAAATAATAATAAGTAATAAATAATAAATAATAATAATGGTGATCCCAGTGATCGGTACACTGGATGCAGTGCCTAAAGACCTTGGCCTGCACTTAAATACAATCGGCGCTGACAAGATAACCATCTGCCAGCTGCAAAAGGCCACCCTACTGGGATCTGCATGCATTATTCACCGATACATCACACAGTCCTAGACACTTGGGAAGTTTCCGAAGTGTGATCCAATACAACAGCCAGCAGAGTGATCTTTTTTGCTGTGGACTCATCTTGTTGTGTTTCAAATAATAACAATAGCACTTTATTTATATTCTGTCCTTCTCCTTGAGGGAATTCAGAGCGGATTACAGCATATAAACAGACACAGGCAAACATGCAATGCCTTGTTACAAAGGCATACAATGAAACACAAATACACAAAGACAAAGGCTTCTCCTTTCATTTCCGGCTCTGGAGGCAGTACTCATCTCTGGCTCTGAGAGAGGTGTTCATTCCCATTTCCAAGCCGAGGAGCCTGCATTGTCCATGGACACCTCCTGGTCATGTAGCCGGCATGACTTTACAGAGTACCTGTTTTTCTTCCTGCTGAGGCATTACCTAGTGACCTACCCACATTTGCATATTTTTGAACTGCTAGGTTGGCAGGAGCTAGGGCTAACAGCACGAGCTCACCCTGTCTCGCAGATTCAAACTGCCAACCTTCAGGTCAGCAATTCAGCAACACAAGGGTTGACCCCATTGCGATAGTACTGTCTCACAACTCCCATCAGCCAGAGTCATGGTGTCTAATGATGTGAAAAACAGGAATTGTAGTCCAGTGTCTGGAAGGCCACATAAAAAAAAATGACATGGAAGCCCACAAACCTTGGATTTTACACATGTGCATTAAATATACTCATTGGAAAGATGGACAGAGATTCTAACCAAATGGGTTACAACCCCCCATCAACTTCCAGCAGCAGAGAAAGCTGAGCTTTGCCTTTTGTAGCTGCCCTAAAAATTAAAGATTTCTGATATTATTTATTTATTTATTAAAACTATTTATTAAGCATTTTCCTACCTGCCATAGCTCTCAGACTACTGGGAAATGAAATGAAAACATGGCAGTAATGGGATAGTATATCTGCTTACAAATAGGTAAGTAAAGCTTTCAAACAAGGCAGTTACATTACTCCTTGTGGGATGCCTTCTATAAATTTCACTCATTTATTTCCGATTCTTATTTTCTGGATTCACTTTTTTGGGCTGTCCACATGGTGGCTATCCAAATCCTTCTATTCACCCACTCACATTTTTTCTTTGTAGTTATTCCATCTATTCCCAGAATGCAGAAAGTCCAGTTTTTTTTAAAAAAGGAGAAAGTTACCTACCTTGGTCCAAGAAGGAAAAATAAAAATAAGAATTCTATATGACTCAAATGCTAACTAACACACAACATGCTTTATACATAATGTTATGAAATGTAAGCCCATTATACACTGTCATATAACATCCATCTTATCTGCTTTGAACTGGATTATATGGCAGTATAGACTCATATAATCCAGTTCAAAAATAGGATGGATTATCCGATTTGATAATCTGGATTATATGGCAGTGTAGAAGGGGTTGTAGTGACATAGAAGTGCCCAGACATTGCACTTGTGTTACTGTGTTACTGCCTGAGGGAAAAGTCCATGTATCTCTTATCTACAGTATATGAAAACATATAATAAATAGCCTGAAAAAACTCCAAAAGAACCTTTTTTCCCCCATGTAAATATACTGGAACACCAAGATTTGAAAATATGTAAGTATATTGTTGAAGGCTTTCATGGCCGGAATCACTGGGTTGTTGTAGGTTTTTTGGACTATATGGTCATGTTCTAGAAGCATTCTCTCCTGATGTTTCACCTGCATCTATGGCAGGCATCCTCAGAGGTTATGAGGTTGACCCTGATACCCAAATGCCTGGTCCCAGAACCATGACTTCAGCTTCTTCCTAAAGGAAAGGAGAGATGGAGCTGACCTAACTTCACTAGGAAGCATGTTCCAAGAGCGGGGAGCCACCACCAAGAAGGCCCTGTCTCTCATCCCTGCCAAACGCATTTGCGACAAAGGCGGGACCGAGAGCAGGGCCTCCCTGGATGATCTTAAACTCCAAGGTGGGACATCCATAGCATTGAGCCATGGCAGTTAAGTGGTGTCAAACTGCATGGTGTACCTTTAAACTGCCATGGCTCAATGCTATGGAATCATGGGATTGATAGTTTGGGGAAGCACAGCAGCACTCTTTGGCAGGGATGGCTAAAAACCTTGCATAACTACAACTTTCAAAATTCCATAGCAGCTATAGTGGAGGTCAAATTACATTACTTTCACAGTTTGCCATAGCTGACCCCCCAGTGGTGCAGTGGGTTAAACCGCTGAGCTGCTGAGCTCGTTGACCAAAAGGTCACAGGTTCGAATCTGGGGAGCAGCGTGAGCTTCCGCTGTCAGCCCCAGCTTCTTCCAACCTAGCAGTTCAAAAACATGCAAATATGAGTAGCTCAATAGGTACTGCTCCGGCGGAAAGGGAACAGCACTCCATGCAGTCATGTTGGCCACATGACCTTGGAGGTGTCTACAGACAATGCTGGCTCTTTGGCTTAGAAATGGGGATGAGCACCACCCCCCAGTCGGACATGACTGGACTTAATGTGAGGGGAAAACCATTGTTCTGTGAGGCACTATCCCTTTTTGCCTGAGAAGGCTGAAGACCTTAAAGCAAGCATGGGCCAATTTCGGCCCTGGAGGTGTTTTGGACTTCAACTCAGAATCTGCTTCTTGGAGTTCCTATCAAGATCAGGAAAATTACATTCAAAGCACCCTCGACAGATGGCCATCCAGCCTTTGTTTAAAAGCCTCCAAAGAAGGAGCCTCCACTATACTCCGAGGCAGAGAGTTCCCCTGCTGAACAGCTCTCACAGTCAGGAAGTTCTTCCCAATGTTCAGATGGAATCTCCTTTCTGGTAGCTTGAAGCCATTGTTCTGTGTCCTAGTCTCCAGGGCAGCAGAAAACAAGCTTGCTCCCTCTTCCCTATGACTTCCCCTCACATATTTATATATGGCTGTCATGTCTCCTCTCAGCCTTCTCTTCTTCAGGCTAAACATGCCCAGCTCCTTAAGCCGCTCCTCATAGGGCTTGTTCTCCAGACCCTTGATCATTTTAGTCGCCCTCCTCTGGACACATTCCAGCTTGTCAATATCTCTCGTCAATTGTGGTGCCCAGAATTGGACACAATATCCCAATAATCCCACAATTCCTAAGAGGCTTTGGGAATTGAAGTCCAAAACACCTGCAGGGCCAAAGTTCGCCCATGCCTGCCCTAAAGTCTCCAGGATAATGCCACAGCATTGCGCCAGGGCAGTTCAAGCGGCATCAAACCGCATTAACTCTCCAGTGTGAAGGCATCCGTGAGGGCGCCTCCCCGCCCCAGGCGAGGAGATTTCCCCTCGTTGCGATGAATCACCATCCGGCTGGGAGGGATTCTTCTCTCGGGACACTTGGCAGAGGAGTTGCAGCTGAGGGCGGGCATTCCTCCTTCGGCCGGGGCGAGCCACCATCATGTCTGGGATCGCAGCGAAAGTGGCCAAAGACCGGGCGGTGGCCCAAGGGCTGGGCTCCAACCAGAAGGCGGTCAAGTACCTCCGGCAGGACTTCGGGGCGCTCAGGGACGAGTGCCTGGAGGCCGGGAAGCTCTTCCAGGACCCCTCCTTCCCCGCCGGGCCCCCCGCCCTGGGCTTCAAGGAGCTGGGACCCCACTCCGCCAAGACCAAGGGCATCGTCTGGAAGAGACCCACGGTAGGAGGGAGGGAGGGAGGGAAGGCAGGGAGGGAGGCAAGGGGCCGGGAAGGAAACTTTTGGGAGCACACCTCCATTCTGTGGGATCCTGGGAGATGGAGTTTGGAGAGGCACCAGCCCTCTTCCGCAGAGAAGGATAAAGACCTGTGTTTTGTTTGTTTTGTTTTGTTTCTTCGTGTCAGGAGTGACTTGAGAAACTGCAAGTCGCTCCTGGTGTGAGAGAATTGGCCGTCGGCAAGGACGTTGCCCAGGAGACGCCCTGATGCTTTGATGTTTTACCATCCTTGTTGGAGGCTTCTCTCATGTCCCCGCAAGAGGAGCCGGAGCTGACAGAGGGAGCTCATCCGCGCTATCCCCAGATTCGAACCTACGACCTGTCGGTCTTCGGGGCTCCTAAAGACCTGGTGAAAATATAGCATTGAGCCATGGCATTTCAAATGGTATTAATCCTACCAGGAATGGGCAAACTTGAGCCCTCCCTTCAGGTGTTTTGGACTTCAACTCCCACCATTCCTAACAGCCTCGGGCCCCTTCTTTTTTCTCCTCAGCCACTTAAGGTTGGGCCCTCCCTCCAGGTGTTTTGGACTTCAACTCCCACCATCCCTAATAGCCTCAGGCCCCGTCCTTTCCCCCCCTCAATCACTTAAGCTTGGGCCCTCCCTCCGAGTTTTTTGGACTTCAACTCCCACCATTCCTAACAGCCTCAGGCCCCTTCCTTTTCCCGCTCAACCGCTTAAACTTGGGCTCACCTTCCAGGTGTTTTGGACTTCAATTCCCACCATTCCTAAAGAGCCTGGGGCTGTTAGGAATTGTCTTCAAGCCACTTCTGACTTATGGCAACTTATGAGGCTGAGAGTGTGTGACTTGCTCAAGGTCACTTAGTGGATTTCCATGGTCAAGTGGAAGAGGAAATTGTAGCTTTCAGTGCACAAACCACTACAGGCAGTCCTCAAGTTGCAACCAAGTTACGTTTTGTAGGTTTGTTCACAAGTTGAATTTGTATGTAACTCGTAACAGGTAATTTTTTTAAAGTGTATCTCCAGCCAAAAATATACATACATTTTAGCTTTGGATAGCATAGGGAAGGTTTAACATCCCTGTGGTGTTTGTTTTGCTGTCTGCCTCTCTGTTTAGAAGATTTCACCTCACTTTCTGTCCCTTTGATAATTGGATCTTGAAAAATTGGACTTGTTTTGGAATCAAGGGTTGGTGATAGCGTTTCAGTGGAGACGCCTTTTTCCTATGATAATTTCCCCTGGTGGCCCAGCGGGTTAAACCACTGAACTTGCTGACCAAAAGTCTGGTGGTTCGAATCTGGGGAGTAGGTTGAGCTCCCACTCTTAGCCCCAGCTACTGCCAACCTAGCAGTTCAGAAACATGCAAATATGAGTAGATCAATAGGTACAGCTTCTGAGGGAAGAGAAGGGTGCTCCATGCAGTCATGCTGGCCACATGACCTTGGAGGCGTCTATGGACAACGCCAGGTCTTCAGCTTAGAAATGGAGATGAGCACAACCGCCCAGAGTCGAACACGACTAGACTTAATGTCAGGGAAAACCTTTACTTTTATTTTTAATTATTTCAGGAGTGAAGTTCTCTTCTTAGGGTTGTTTCACCTCCATTCTTAACTTTGAGTCGTTTGTACGTAGAATGTTTGTAACTTGTGGATTGTCTATATATCACACTGCCTTTTAAATACACATTGTTTATTTGTTTATTTCTGTGCCTATCAAGTTCCCTCACTATTACATTTATTTTTCAGTATCCAAACTATGTATCTATTTATCTATCTGTACACACATATACAGACACACACATACATGACACACAGCACAGTGGGACTAATCTAAAAGGCTCGAAGCCTATTCATTTGTGTACTATTGCAGAATCTGGGAATGTTACTTTTTGAACTACCACTCCCCAAGTCAATATGGAGTAGATTCATAGAGTTGGAAGTGACCTCATGGACCATCCAGTCCAACCCCCTGCCAAGAAGCAGGAACATCAAAATGTCTTGGATTACAAACACCATAATCCCTAACCATCTTGGGCAGTGTACTGGAATGGTGCTTATTAATGTATAGAAGTGACTTCTGCAAGATGTTTTGGAACCAGGATATGTTAGCAAGCGTTAAAGATGTTTTTCCAGCTTGACCACTTGCAGCTACCCAGCCATCATAAAATACTCAACTTGCTTTGAACAGGAAAAGTTTAAAAGGCCTAAAACAGGAAAGGTCAATCAGTAAAGATTCTTATCTGTCCACATAATAATTTAGAGATAACTAGCTAATCTTACAGATTTAAAAATCTGATATTTATATAACTCTCCAGATGCTAGTAGACTCAAACTCCCAATTGCCGTATCCAGTATAGTAAATACTGAAAAACAATGGTCCAACAATATTCAAGGAGCTAGAGGTTTCCACTTATGTAATTATTATTATTATTATTTGTTTAAAAATCTTACTAGTTGCTTTTCTGCCCATTAAAGCCCATTCCACACAGTTGAATAATATCCCACATTTTCTGCTTTGAACTGGAATATATGACCGTGTGGACTCAGATAACCCAGCTCAAAACAGACATATTGTGGGATTTTCTTCTTTGATATTTGGGGTTATATGGCTGTGTGGAAGGGCTCTAAGGCTTCCTATACTAGCATCCATGCTCTTCTAGAGATTGTTTGACACATCTAATTAGTATATATGGTTTCCAGAATAAAGACAAATACAGCTATTTATATGCTTCAAACTTTTAATTATAAAGCAAAAGGCGCTTATTTCCTATCTGATGTTGTGTTATTTGGAACAGATGGAAGTATTTTATTTAGTATTCCCAGCAATTTTTAAACAGAATAAGGGACACATTGGGTGCTTTTGAGACTATGGCTTTCAGAATACTCAGGCATAGTGATGCTTCCATCAGAACATGGAAATATACACATGCTTGAGAGCAGAAGTCAGCCAAACAGCCAAAACTGCATCAATACACTCTTTGAAGATGCAGAGGCAGTTGAGAAAAGTAGAGACTACTGTTTATTCAAGGAGCTTAAAAAATCTGCCAGAGTTTCTAACAGTTCAGAAGACTGACAGCCAACCCCCCCCCCCCCACACACACACACACGAAGACAAGTTGTGTCAAAGCAAAATCATGTGGATCCGCAATCATCCTTTCTCTTTTTGATGTCCAGGCCTTTGTAGCAAAATAGCTCTCCAAATGTAAAGAGAAATTATCATTGTGACTTGAGTAGTCCAAACAGTAACTTTGCCAAGGTCTTGAAAACGAAAGGAGGAATCTGTCCAGCTAAATAAGAAGAGTTATGTTTAGTAACTATGGAACAATAACTGACTTTTGGGTGGGAGACTGGAATGGAGTATCTCGAAAGAGGGCCCCTTGTTTCTTCCTTTCAAACAATATTTGCCACCATAACAATTACAGAGAAATATCCAGTTGAAGGGGACCGTGGTGGCACAGCGGGTTCAATTGCAAAGCTGTAGAACTTGCTGACCAGAAGGTTGGCAGTTTGAATCCATGGACAGGGTGAGCTCCCATTGATAGCCCCAACTTCTGCCAACCTAACAATTCGAAAACATGCAAATGTGAGTAGATCAATAGGTACCACTCCGGCAGGAAGGTAATGGTGCTCCATGCAGTCATGCCAGCCACATGGCCTCGGAGGTGGCTATGGACAATGCAACTCTTTGGCTTAGAAATGGAGATGAGCACCACCCCCTAGAGTCGGACACAACTGGATTTAATGTCAAGGAGAAACCTTTAGCTTTTTATAGATGCAAGGGTATACATCCACTTATACCTGCAAGCTTATACCATAATATTTCACTGTGCATGAGCACCAACCCCCAAAGTCGGACACAACTGGACTTAATGTCAAGAAACAGATTGTCTGCATCTTTAAATAAAATATTTCTTATTTCTTCCCTTACCAGGAGTTATGTTCCAATCCTCAATTTATTGTTGGAGGGGCCACTCGGACTGATATCTGCCAGGGAGCTTTAGGTAAGATTGTCCTTGTCACATGAAACATGACATCTGTATTGTGTAAATATTATTTTTCCTGTAACCGATGTACTCTTTTCTATGGCATGCGTATTCCAAATTGTTCACTACCTTTTACTGAGTTTTCTTTGTGTCATTGATATTGACATTAATTGTGGTTTAGAGAGCCAATAATGCACACAGAGGATCTATTTGTAAGCTTGGAGTGTTTGTGAGCAATCCCTTTTGTTCTGAAAGATGCCAAGCATTAAGTTAAGTGCTTTCTCGTGTTCCAGCTTGTTATTTGGAAAGATTTTTAATGTATAGGTTGCAACTTCGATTGCTTTTTTGGCTTTAATATATGTAATATTCAGTGCCTTCTCCATCCCTGCATCTACTGGAATAGGATCCCATGGTCACCTTAAAGAGGATATTGATTTCTTCTTTTCAGCTGCTGTAGATAAACAAAGTGACTTTTTTTTTACAGTAAAATCCTAAAAGTATGGTAAGTTCCATTATATTTGAGTGCTGCTTAAATCTTGGGAAGTATGGGTTTTAGATAGCAATCTTACAATTAGAGTCTAATACTTACCTCAGAGTCTCTTTAACACCTTTTAAACATCTGCATGAAATCATTTTGGAGATTTGGGTTAATGTGGCATCAGTATGTGGATGAGACACAAGATCACATTCTTAAGTATTGGAATATAAATATATTTACAAGGGATATTGAGTGCAATCTTTGGTAAACATTTGGGCTGTTTATTTTATGCCTTATAGATGTACAAACATATACATTTCCCTTAGGGAGAAACACAGACATACCAGTATCTGGGTGCCAAACTTACATCAGAGTACACCACATTACATATAAGCCATCATACATTCATTACATTGCATCATGTAGCCATTCAGTCATTACCTTTTCATGGGAGGGAAGTGTTTGTCTCTTTTTAACAGGTATTGTAATAGTAAACATCTAAAAGAATATTACCATTTTGCCAATTTAATTTAGACATATATATATAGATAATTATCTTTTAGCTCTTTCTTACATTCAATAATGGGCGCTTCCAGATCACGGGGTTTAATCCGGGGCAAAAAATCCTGGGACTTCAGAAGAGGTCCACAGACAGACCTGTTGGTCCTGGGACTCCAGTTTCCATCATCCACACTTACTATTTCATTGCAGGATTTAGAGGCTACCAAGATTCACTTCACTTCACTTCACTTTATTTCTTAATTAGTCGCTCTCCACCAAGGTGCTCCGAGTGACTTACAATCTAAAATAGCATTTACACAATATAAAAACATTCAACATAAAAACATTCAACAGTGACTATTTGGCAAATTAGATCTGATTACTTAAATGCACAACCAAACAGCCAAGTCTTGAGTGCCTTTACAAAAGGTTGCAACTCCGACACTGCTCTAATGTATGGAGGCAATGAGTGCCACAGAATTGGAGCAGATGGCTGCTGTGGGACTTCTGCTGGAAATCTTGGCAATTTTTAAAAAGTTAAGGTGTGAAGATGCAGATTATTGTATAAGTTCCATTCCTGGGTAAGGCCATCTGTGCAGAAAGGATGTTGTTCCAGAATTATACATGTCTGTTCCTGATTGCTCTTATTGTGAAAAGATGTACAATGTTGACTAGGGGCGCACAACTTTGTCCTGGCCAGAGAAAATGTGCCCTCCACACGTTTCATGAAGTTTCTGGCACACAAACAAAGTTTTTGTGTTCTACTCAACTGTCACCTTCTTTTTAGGAACCAACCAATCAGGAATAAATTTCTAAAACCCGGGAACAAACCTAGATTTCAAAAAATCCATGATTTCCAAGTGCGGGGACATATAGACATTCAAAGATGTAGATTTTCAGCTCAGAACTAGGATATTCCCACACCTGAAAATCTCGCATTTTTTGCCGTTTGTAGCTATTGCTTCTGTGTTTGCAGGGAACAGCGTCTGGCCACCCTCCTGTTTCCTGTGATAAAGGTACTGTCTGGACAGGCCCAATGTCTGTTAAGGCAGTATACAAACTTAAATTGTACAGAATTCAGTGCTTTGTATCCATAACTATTTTGTCATTAGATTCTTTTGTTTGTATTTTAGATTTTTATTTATTCTTTATAAACTGCCCTAGGAGGAGTTTGCCCTCATAGACAGCATAAAATACCCAACATCTTGATTTCCACAATAGCCAAACACATGCCTCAAGGAAACAGGAAATTAGAAAGACTATCTGTATCCTGTCCTGAGATGTAAGGTTGGGGGTACAAATGTTTTAGTAAGTAAACTAAATGAAGGAAAATACTTTGCTTGCATTATTCTTTCCTAGCAGCTGATATTTTGAGGCATACTATCTCTGAACATAGAAATAGCAGAATGCCATCATGACTTGTAGCCATTATGGGCCTTATTTTTCCATTTATTTGTTCAAGCTCTTATTATTATTATTATTATTATTATTATTATTATTATTATTATTTCCTGTATTTTTACTCGGCTCTTCTCACCCTGAAAGGGACTCAGAGCAGCTTACAATTTAGCCACTTCAATAGTACATTGCGAATACATAGTATATAAAATATCACATTAAAATAAACCACAAATAACATATAAATACGATAAAACTATTAAAAAACTGTTAAAACCATATCCCTAAAATCTGTGGTCATCCTTCATGCTGCAGCATTCAGATCAATGTTGTATTACACAATTCCCTTCTTTTAAAGTTATCCAAGCTATGAATCTTAAAAATGCCTTCATTTTTTGACTCTGTATGAGGCATACTAATCTTTCTAGACCTAATATCACCTAGAGCCTAATATGAACATGAACAGTTGTGATGGATCCAGGGGGCAGGTTCAGGCATCTAGGACCCTTTGAGAACTGCATCCGTTGCTAACAATGTTTCCTTCAAAAGTGGAAATCCTCGTCTGATTTATGAAAGCAGGCATTTTAAATGAAGGCATGACAATAATATTCATACAAAGAGAGCAATCCTATGTGCCACACAAGGGTGTAAAAACTCATTAGGTTTTAAAAATGTAATTTTGAAATTTAAAATCAGGCACATTGTTTTATAGAAGTTAGATGACATTATAGAAGTTAGAATGACATTATAAAAACATTATAAAAAGCTTAGAACAGGCTGTCACATGAAAACACAATCCATACACATAGGTAAGGCAAAGTTTCTCCCCTGACATTAAGTCCAGTCGTGTCTAACTCTGGGAGTTAGTGCTCATCTCCATTTCTAAGCTGAAGAGCCGGCATTGTCCGTAGACACTGTTACCTTCTCGCCAGAGCGGTACCTATTGATCTATTCAAATTTGTATGTTTTCGAACTGCTAGGTTGGCAGAAGCTGGGGCTGACAGAGGAAGCTCACACCAGTCCCCAAATTCGAACTTATGACCTTTCGATCAACAAGTCTAGCAGCTCAGCAGTTTACCCACTGCGCCACCGGGGACTCCATACACATAGAAACCTTTAAAAAACGTAATGAAATGTTGCCACCTTAGATGATTTCAGTTTTCAGTCTTGTCTACAGACTAGGAAGCCCCAATGACACAGCTAGGAACCAACCCCATGATTGCCTCAACTTTTACTCTAGGAAAAGGACTCTAGGAAAAGTCCTAGCAATGCCAAAAGTGCTGCAGTGGCAGATTATTCCACCCGTGTATCCCTGCATTTCTGGCAGTGTATATATCATGGTGATAATGTGTTTAGTATTCCATTGATATTGCAGAGCATCTGCTAAACTCTGTTGCCTCTCAGCAAAGAGAACTTGAATATAAGTAAGCTATTTATTGAAACAAAGGCTCTTTTCTGTTTCAAAGTGATTATGTTATTCTACCCCGAGATCTTATGATTTTGAGTGAGATGCAAATATTGTAATAAATAAAATCAAAAATGCTCACTCTTCACTGTATCGTATCAATTCATAGTTTGAGGGGGGGAAGAATGGGAACATTCAGATCAATAAAAATGAATATCAAATTAATAAAAGGAATTTGTGCTTTGAGGATTCTGGATTAATCAGTTATATTGAAACCAGAGATAGATAACATGTAGCCCTGCAGATATGGTTGTACTAAAGTACTTATCAGGGGAGTCTCCGGTGGCACAACAGGTTAAACCGCTGAACTGCTGAACTTGCTCTGTAGTTCGAATCTGGGGAGCGGGGTGAGCTCCTGCTGTTAATCTCAGCTTCTGCCAACCTAGCAGTTCGAAAACATGCAAATGTTAATAGATTAATAGGTACTGCTCCAGCTGGAAGGTAACGGCGCTCTATGCAGTCGTGCCAGCAACAGGAATTTGGAGGCGTCTATGGACAACGCCAACTCTTCGGCTTAGAAATGGAGATGAGTACCACCTCCCAGAGTTGGACACGACTAGACTTAATGTCAAGAGAAAACCTTTACCTTGAAAGTACTCATCATTCCTTATCATTGGTGTGATGACACGCCCGAGCCTTTGGGGAAACTATAGTGTCTGACTTTACTCGGGGGCTATCTGATACTTTCTGTTAAGGTTAAGACCCTTAGCAGAGAAAGACACTTTGAGGCAAAGTGAAAAGATAACCAAATGAGTTTACTGAAACAAAATGAATAAAGGGTTAACTCCACTTGGGACTATCATAGAATCACTTAGAACAATGCATTACAAAAGGAGAACTTGCTGGTTGAAGTCATCTTTCTGAGGTCTTTGAAAGTCTATTTGGCCTCTGGTGCAAAGTGATGGTTATAAACTGCCTAATCTTCTTTCCTGTGAAGCTTAGGCTGTCCAAAAGCTTCTGTTGTTCTTTGGACTGTTGGTAAAAAAAATACTTCTAAACACAGCAGCAGGAAAAAGTGCTATGAATGCCTGTTTGGATTGCTAGGCCTAAGATTCCAGACAATATCCAGGGCTCTAAGGCTCTACTGCAGAAAGAAGGAGGAGTCCAGCAAAAAGCTCTGTGCAGGGAAAAGGAATTGACCAACTAAGACTGGCCTCTGAGGGGTGTTTTTATGTA